CGAACATACTCTCAGGGAGGGTAATTGGGCTGCTCATTATATGGCCCAGGCGGGATTGGGCCAGATGCAGGAAACAATTCTATTTCAAATGGATCAGCTACCTTTTAATGTTAAAAAATCAATTATTTGTGATTCTTTTGGTTTTCCTTACTTTCGTTATGTTTAAATTGGGCTTCTCCGTGTATTCTGAAAGAGGTATTGGCATAGCCCCCCTCTCTCCATGTATTTCTCCATTTGTTTTTTAATAAAATTTGGCAAATGTTTCCCGACATTTGCCCCACTGATTTTAGTGGTTTGCCTTCCGGGATAAAAAAACAAAAAACAAAGATGATGGATCACCGAACTGGGGTAGCCGGAATCCAAGTAAAATGAGGGAAGAGCTTATCGAAAAGTACATGTATGTATTTCGGCAGAGTGACTCCGTGCTGTCTTCGAGATGGTTGATTGCTTGGTGCTGACGCAGGTTGACTCCGTGTTGACGCCCAAGGTCAGAGCTGGTGCCGACCTCGATGCATTCGAGGTCGGGCTCATAACTTGTTGAGTTTGGTTGATTCATGAGCTTGATATTTTCCCGACCTCGGGGGGTCGAGGTCGGGGTCGGTTGACCTTTTGGTCCTTAATAATTTTGTTGCATGACGCTTGTTCCTGACCTCGGTCGGGGTCGGTCCCAGTTGTGGACTTAGTATTTTTATGAACTCCAGAATGGATCCGTGATGCTTTATGCCGACGATTATGATACCCCTGGGGTATATGCGAATATACTCCATCAAATAATAATAATAATAATAGTAATCGTAATAATAATAATAATAATTGTTGGAGAATATTATCCCGGCCTACTACTATTCAGAGGCCCAAGGCTTCACCCCGGTATGGAGCCCAGTTGGCGAGGTCCATGTAGGCCCCTCGGGCCCATTGAGAGCCATTTAGGCGCACTCGGCCTGCCCGGCCCATTTTTCGCCCGTTAAGGCCTGTCCGGCCCATTAGGCTAGAAAGCCCCCCCCCCCTATAAATAGGAAGCTAGCGAGCTAGGCTTCCATTTAAAGGGCTTGGCTTTAGCTCTTCTCCTCTGGAGGCTGGTTTCTTCTCTCCCAAGGAACTTCCCTGCATCCCCCATTCATTTGTTTAGATTAGTTGTTCAAACTCCATTAATGGAGTCCCAAGAAATATGTATTATGTATTTGGTGAGGAGAGTAATAATGAGAAAGAGCGGGCTTGAACTTAAAAGTCCCGTGGTTTTCTCCCTTTCGGGTTTCCACGTAAAAATCGAGTGTTATACCAAATTATATCTATATCTATTAGTTTATGTTGGACTTAAACTCAACATTGGTGCCGTCTGTGGGAATGCCTTCGTGAGACGCTTCAGCCAACTAATTTAAGATATGTCATCGGGCAATGCCTTCGCGAGATGCTTCAGCCAACTAATTTTGGCTGGTCGGGGTGGGCCGATACGCCCACTAAAACCATGCATTTAATTAAAATGATGGTGAACATATTATTAAAGCTTCGCTCGCCGCTATTTATTCGGGATTTTTAATCCCTAACAAATAATAATGACGTGCAATCTGATAGTAATAATACTAACTCAAGCCATTAATGCATTAATGGATGAGCATTTGATGCCGAGTGCTCAACCATAACCGACCGGGAGCAGGCCGGCCGGTCCACTAGAACCGAGAATTTTAATTAAAATTGTCAGTGGCTTATTAACAGAGTTTCGCTCGATATTATTTATCTTGAGAAAATTAAATCCACAGTAAATAATGGTTACTCAATAACTAACAGCAATAATACTATCTAGTAATTAATATTTTAAAGCATGAGCGTAGAAAATTGTGACACTTAGCTGGATAGGCTGAATTTCAGCTATCAGGCAAATACATTGGTCCCATTTTGCATTGATTTTCACCAGGGGTGACTTGGTCCAGCAATCCTTGGGACATCAACCTTCTCAGCTTAGCAAAGGAACTTATGGATTTAAACTTGGCCCAGGTTGCTTGACAGTGCAGCCAAACTCCAGCCCATATCAAATGCCCCCTTCTTGACTATTCTGTAGCCGAGGGTCGTTAGATGAGCACATTTTGAAGACTGACCTCATCCCCTCTCCTCACGGACAAAGGACCGTTGCTCGAGTTCCCAGATCGATATTCTTAGTACCGACATCTTTACAGCATGACTATATCTTATGGACCGCCGCTGCAGTTGCCGCCGCTGTCCGCATATCATGATCGGCCTCTCGGCACGACATGTTGATCACCCTGAAGGCATCTTCACGCTCCATGGAGGAAGACCTATTGTGCGGATGATCTGATCAATTCCTTGTAGCTCCACGATCGGCCACCCGGCATGACGTGATCATCATTGTGAATCCCTGTATATATTTAAAAAAAAGGGTGGATGCAAGATTTCATGTGAAAAACCCAGAGAGAAAATGAGAGAAAAGGAGATCAAGGCTCCTCGAACATCGCCTAAATCACTAGTATGGACGAACCGTCGAATAGACTGGTCAAAACCAAATGGATCGAACGGGGGAATCAAAACTGTGGTTAAAATTCTCACCCCATGCATAGTACGTCGAGCCGTTCAAATGGGACGAACGGGGGAATTGAACTATGAATTGGATGTGAGTCATCATTTCAACTAAGTTTGTCGATCTGTTCGTCAAAAAGATCGAACGGTGGATCAGACTAGTTTTGGAGATGATGTAAAGAAAATGGTGGACCAACCAGTCATGGGCCAACGGGTCCGAGTCGTTTAGAGTCAAATTCCGTGGAATACCCCGTCCAAAGGATAGGGATTCTACAACCGCATTCACAAGTGTGTGGCATACACGTTTGGGCTACCCAAATGTCGCGGCGGCTAGTGGAATGTGGTAGTCGTCCCCGACCAATTAGTTGGAGTGATCCGTCCAAATCAGACCGGACAGGTAATCTCAGCTAATTCGGTTTGAGTTGGGGAATAAGAGTTTCTTTCTTCTATTGATCACTTTATGCAGCACGAACGACTCTTCAGAGTCGTCACGCCTACTCACGACCGGGCTCGTGTATTCCTAATTTGGAATGACGACCGTCGTATTATGCAGCATGAACGACTCCACAGTGTCGTCATGCCTACTTATCGGCCGGGCTCGTCCATTCCTAATCTGGGACGGCGACCGCCACTTTATGCAGCACGAATGGCTGGCTCTTCAGCGCCGTCGTGTCTTCTTGTCGGTCGGGTCCGCCCATGCCATTTAGGGTCGGGACCGCCACTTTATATATGCAGCACGAGCGGCTGGCTCTTCAGCGCCGTCGTGTCTTCTTGTCGGTCGGGTCCGCCCATGCCATTCAGGATCGGGATCGTCGCTTTATATATGCAGCACGAGCGGTTGGATCTTCAGCGCCATCGTGTCTTTTTGTCGGTCGGGTCCGCCCATGCCATTCAGGGTCGGGACCGCCGCTTTATATATGCAGCACGAGCGGCTGGCTCTTTAGCACCGTCGTGTCTTCTTCTCGGTCGGGTCCACCCATGCCATTCAGGGTCGGGACCGTCACTTTATGCAGCATGAACGGCTAGCTCTTCAGCACCATCGTGTCTTCTTCTCAGTCGGGTCCGCCCATGACATTCAGGGTTTGGACTACCGCTTTATGCAGCACGAGCGATTAGATCTTCAACGCCGTCGTGCCTAGCATGGGGATTGCACCTCGCCTACCACTTATGCATGCCTTGCGGGACTATTCGGGGACATCGATTCAGAGAAGGCAAGGAAGAACGTGAGCACGAGTATACTTTCTCGAGTAGATTCACAGGCTCACTACTCAAGAAACTGGGGGACTTGTGTTGGGGAATATTATCCCGACCTACTACTATTCAAAGGCCCAAGACTTCGCCCTGGCATGGAGCCCGGTTGGCGAGGCCCATGTAGTCCCCTCGGCCCATTGGGAGCCATTTAGGCCCACTCGGCCTACCCGGCCCATTTTGGCTCGTTAAGGCCTGTCCGACCCATTAGGCTAGAAAACCCCCTCCCCCTTCTATAAATAGGAAGCTAGGCTTCCATTTAAAGGGCTTGGCTTTAGCTCTTCTCCCCTGGAGGCTGGTTTCTTCTCTCCTAGGGAATTTCCCTGCATCCTCCATTCATTTGTTTAGATTAGTTGTTCAAACTCCATTAATGGAGTCCCAAGAAATATGTATTATGTATTTGGTGAGGAGAGTAATAATGAGAAACAACGAGCTTGGACGTTAGCCTAAAAAGTCTCGTGGTTTTCTCCCTTTTCGTGTTTCCATGTAAAAATCGAGTGTCATACCAAATTATATCTATATCTATTAGTTTATGTTGGACTTAAACTCAACAACAACAACAACAACAATAATAATAAAAATAACAACAACAACAATATTATTAATAATAATAAGTCCATAGTTTAAGAAATCTAAACAAAAGTTCTATATTCAATCTTATCATGTTTTCTACTCTTATTCTTCTTATAGAAATTGTTCTAACTAGGAGCAAAAACGTTTTGAAATTCCAAAATAGGAGTATCATGTTTTTTATTCCCTGAATATGGGTAGTCTGCCAAGTTTGGAAAAAAATGTCATGTTTTAAAGCCTAGTAATGTCCAACTTGGCAAAAATTTACTCCTATTCAAGGAATAAAAAATATGATACTCCTATTTTGAAATTTCAAAACTTTTTTACTCCTATTTAGGGAATTCTCTCTTTTTCTTAGCATATTTTTGTCATATTCAATCTTATCTTTTTAATTGTAATAAACATTTCAAAGTTGTTTAAATTTAGGACGAAGTGCATGATAATTACCTAAAATATAGTCCAATATTATAATTTTGTCTCTCTTATAATTTGGAGTAACTGTGATACTAATTTACTACATAAATTACTTCATGTTTATGTAAGACATACATTTCTAAAATTTAAATACATTTCTATAATTTAAATTTGTTTTTAAATAATTGGCCCAGTGTAAAATTAAAACTGGCCCAGTTAAATATTTATGGCCCAATAAAAAACAGTCCAGCTCAGCTCCTAAGCAATCCAAACAGGAGGGACGGGCATCAGTTTCACGCTAAAGGCAAACCAGCGCCGCTGCCAGCACTCACGCATCTTTCACGCCAACGGCATCAGTAATTCGCAGGACTCTCGCCTTCTGCTCGCCGACTAGCCGGAGACGCACTCACGCACGACGCACCCTAAGCTGCTAGGCTGCACCGCCTGCACGGTGACTCGCCCGCTCGCCGGACTGTCTTCCTCTCTCTTGGACTCCAATCTCCAGAATCCGGCAGCTTCTGCTTTTCCTCTCTTCAAGGTCGCTGCTTCACAGCTTCAGTCATCGAGCAGACCCGCAGTTCTTCTAGGTAAGGGTTTCTTTATTATTTGTTTTTACAATTTTTAGATTAATTAGGTATTTTATTTATTAAATTAGTTTGTGTTAGTGATTAGTGTGTCACAATTGATTTGTGTAATTGTGTGCTTTGAATTGTGAAATAGAAAATTAGGAATGTCAAATGTTATTTGTGAGTTTTTGAAAAATATTAATATGAATTGTATGAATTAAAATAAAGTATTGATTTGTATTTTATTTTTTTTGGTGCGTCGAGTGCTGGTTCATTTTTGTAAAATAGTTAATAAGTAGGAATTGTTATCGTGAACATTTCGAGTCATAATTATTTTTGTAAAATGTGTGAAAGTAAGAATTATTTATGTTAATTTCATCATTTATTTATATAGAGAATGATGTTAATTTTTTTGAATTTTTTTATTGATGAATGAGCAAAAAAACAATAAATAGAAAAGATGAAATAAATGAAAAAAGAAAACAACAAAAAAAAAGAACAAAAAAAAATCCAACCCTAAGTTGGTTAAGTACGCATAAGCACAACTATAGGCACAAGTAATATCAAGGGGTGTTTGGATCTGATTCTTAAAACTGCTTCTGCTCCTTGTGAAGGAGCAGAAGCAGAAGTTAGAGTGTTTGGGTGAAAGTGCAGAAGTGATTCTGGTGCTCTAATTTACTCCTAGAATAAGTTTTTTTAGAAGCTGCTGGGGTGTCCAGCTTCCGAAAACTGATTTTGATTCTGCTTTTGCTTTAAAAAAGAAGTAGAAGCAGAATCGGTTCCAAACACCCCCTAAAGAAAGAATTCCCTCAATAGGAGTAAAAACGCTTTGAAATTCCAAAATAGGACTATCAAGTGTTTTATTCCCTCAATATGGAGTGAATTTCTGCCAAGTTTGACATTACTAGGCTTTAAACATGGAATATTTTTTCAAACTTGGCAGATTACTTTTATTCAAAAAATGAAAAACATCATAGTCCTATTTTGGAATTTCAAAGCGTTTTTACTCCTATTTATGGCAATTTCTGAATATTAAACCCCTTGTGTTATGTTTATTATTTAACATGAATTGCTTCTCTCATATAAAACCCACCCTCTACCTCGGGTTTCATCTTACTCATCATAAACCTTAGCAGGTATGGCGATTGGCGTTCTCACTCGTTCTCTAATCACCGCCGGGAAGCAGGCCATCAACACCGCTTTCACACGCTCGTACTCTTCTATTACTCCGTGTCGTAACCTCTTCTTTCCTTCCTCCGTCCTCCGCCTACGCCCGTTGGTCACGGTTGCCCCCCGACACCTTTATCCAGCCGCTTATGCGACGTTGCGAGGGTTTGCGACTCGCCAGACCTCTTCATCACTCAATGATACCAACCCTAACTGGTCAAACCGTCCCCCAAAAGAGTCGATTTTGCTTGATGGGTGCGATTTCGAGCACTGGCTTGTTGTGGTCGAGAAGCCCGAGGGTGATCCAACTAGAGATGAGATTATCGATAGATACATCAAAGTTCTGGCCAAGGTTGTTGGAAGGTTTGTCTGCTTTACCGGTTTCTGGTTATTTCTGGTTGTTCTTCTATGTCATAATATGATTTGTTTTAGCTTCTCAACTAGGATATTTGGATTTGTGCTTATTAATCAGAAATATGTTAAATGTAATATTTTTTTTGAAACTTCGCTGTCTATTTGTTTAAAAAATGATTGAAGTGTGTTGAGCCAAATTGGATGATATGCTATAAATTATGGTGTTATCAATAATTCTCGTAGCGAGGAAGAGGCTAGGATGAAGATCTACTCTGTCTCAACTAGACACTATTATGCATTTGGGGCTCTCGTGTCAGAGGAACTTTCTTACAAATTGAAAGGTAGTTTTAAGGAGGTATTCTATTGCATCTCGTTTGTCATACTATTCAGTTTCCAATAAATACTTTTTTTTTTATTTGCAGAGTTACCAGAAGTTCGATGGGTGCTCCCTGATTCTTACTTGGATGTTAGAAATAAAGATTATGGAGGTATGGAGATCAAGCTTGTAGTGTTATAAGAATGTCACAGGATTATTCAATTATTTAAATTGTATTAGCTTATTTGTATCTTTTAGAAAGCTAATTGCTCTAACGTTAATCATATGCATGTTTGTATATGTGAACCCCAAATGGTTTTAATTTTTCTCTTTGAAAAACTTTTATGCAAAACTGGTTTGCATACTGCATTAGAATGTTGTTAAACTGATTAGAATGGCTAGACAACTCGGACTCCGTTTAGAGCCGGTTCAAGAAAATATAAAGGTGCCACTTGAAAAGATACATGCTTGCTTTTCTTTTATCCAAATGAGTGATGAAACAGTTCTGCTTGTTGGAGCACATCATGCATGCAGTTCCATCTCATTCTTACATGTTTCAAATAATGTAGTGATGATGGGGAATTGAGAAATTCTGTTTCTGGCTCAAGATGGTTATCAGCAATTTATTGTTCTGTGGATGTGTTGTGCCTTGTGACCAGTTACAGTTCATTTATGGAAGTATATTCTAACCTCTGAACTTCTGGTGCAGGTGAACCTTTTATAAATGGACAGGCTGTACCATATGATCCCAAATATCACGAGGAGTGGGTGAGGAACAATGCCCGTGCCAATGAAAGAAACAGACGCAATGACAGGCCTCGTAACTCTGACAGATCAAGGAACTTCGAAAGAAGACAGCAAATGAGTAATCAGAATTTCCAGAACAATGCTGGTCCGAGGCCGAACGTCCCACCTTCAATTGGTCCACCAACCCCACAGGGAAGCCCTGTTGGCCCCAACCAGAACAACTATGCCCCTGCACCAAACCAGAACAGTGCTGCTCCCTGGCCTGGCACCCCGAACAACTCTCCTCCATCTGGCCCCAGCCAGAATAACTACTCCCCTCCTCCTCCTCCTAGCCCAAGTCAGAACAATTACTCTCCTCCTCCCCCTGGCGGTCCTTCCCCAAACTACCCTGCTGCCCCTGGTCATAGCTACTCTCCTCCAGGTGGGCAGAACTACCATCCTGGCCCTGGGCAGAGCTACTCCCCGCCGGGTGGGCAAAACTACCCTCCACAGGGTCCTGGGCAGAACTACCCTCCCAGTCCTGGGCAGAGCTACTCTCCTCCCCCTCCTCCTCGTCCCACTTACTCTCCTCCGGGTCCTGCGCATAACAATTATCCTCCCCCTCCTCCTCCAGGCCAAAATCCGAACTATGCTCCAGGATCGAACCAAAGCTATGCTCAAGTTCCTAACCAGAACTTCACCCCAGGGGGGCCTAATCACAACAACAACTTTGGGCCAAACATGGATGGCAGAAGCTCTTACTAGAACCCCAGTCCATGGCCTCTCCTGAGTGTTAATAGACCGCTGCCGTGCAGACAAAGTCCTAGGAGTTTTGCTTGAACTGTGTAGGGATGCTGTTTGGTTTCATGTTTTTTTACTATTTAATCTTGAATTAGTGCATTTCATTATCCATGCGTTTCTTTGGGTGAGAGTAGGGGTGGATTCGGGCCGGGCCGGGTTCGGCCTAGGCACGGGCGTGCCGGCGGGTCTGAATAGGTGGACCCGGGACCGGCCTGGGTAGCCACCGGGTCCGGGACGGGCCGGGACGGGCCTCGGGCTTGTTTTTTTTTTGCTTACTTACCTATCCTTGACCCCCCCCCTCACCCCCAAACCCCTCCTAATTCCTAAACATCAAGCCCAGCCCAAACTGAGCCCAAACAAATGAAGAAAACAAAAAAAAATCAATTTGGCCCGAACTGGGCCTGGCCTTGTTTTGGGTGACCTGAGCCAGGACCGGAAACCCCTCGGGTTGGGCCTACTCGGACCGGTCACTAACTGGGCCACTGGTACGTGCTGGGCCGGAATAGTGCTGGTCCCGGGCCGGTTCCGGGTCGGGCCATCCGACCCGAGTCCACCACTAGGTGAGAGCTGGTGTGCTGGTGGTCCTTTATTGTAAAACAGGAACTTCATAAATTATTGAGCCATTCAATAAATTAGTACATACTGAATCTATCAAAATATATATTTTGATCTTTGGTCATTGTTATTTTGCTTATAATGTATGGCCTAAATTTCAAATTAAATCTCATCACGATAACAATTAACTTCCATAAAGCTCATCGATAATAGTGGGGCTAGTTTCTGTATAATTTTTACCTCGTAAGAAGGTAGTGTCACTGTGCGTTGAGTGATGGCCTCAAGACCTATCATCAAACGTTAGTGATTGAACCTGACAGGTCAAGATTCATTGGCAACATCTTCAAAGGTCTTTGGGGGGGGGGGGGGGGGGGGGGGGATAAGTGAACTTTTATTGGGGGCAGCACGAGTCGGATAGAGAGCGAGAGATTGAGGGAGAGGGAGCTACACTATGAAGACTATACTCTCTTCAGAGACGATGGACATCCCGGAAGGGGTGAAAATCAAGGTGCACACAAAGCAAATCGAGGTCAAGGGTCCTTGAGGCAAGCTCTCCCGGAACTTCAAGCATCTAAATCTTGATTTCCAGCTCATTAAAGATGAGAAAACCGGAAAGCTGAAGCTTAAGGTGGATGCCTGGTTCGGGTCACGGAAGAGCACCGCCGCAATCCGCACTGCCCTCAGCCACGTTGACAACCTCATTATCGGTGTTACCAAGGGCTTTCGCTACAAGATGCGCTTTGTCTAGGGTCACTTTCCCATTAACGCCTCTATCACCAACGCTAATAAGGCTATTGAGATCCGTAACTTCCTTGGCGAGAAGAAGGTTAGAAAGATGGACATGCTTGATGGGGTTACAGTTCTTCGTTCTGAGAAAGTAAAGGATGAATTGGTTTTGGATGGTAATGACATTGAGCTTGTGTAACGGTCATGTGCACTTATTAACTAGAAACGCCATGTCAAGAAGAAGGATATCAGGAAGTTCCTTGATGGTATCTATGTTAGTTAAAAAGGCAAAATTGAAGAGGAAAACTAAGCGCCTCCTAGTCTTTCAAATTTTCCATTAAACTTCTCATTTTGAATATTTTCTTGTTGCTTTATAGACTTGTTATGGATTTATCCAAAAAATTTGGGGTTTCAAGAAAAAAAAGTGAACTTTTATTGATCGGGTGGCCATAGAGAGCATTACATGGGTTGCATGAATTTCATTGAATTGGGTTTTCCTTTTTTTTTTCTACAGAAGATTCAAGAATGAAATGTTCGTGAACAATCAAATGGATGCATTTGATAAACTTGTGAATGTAACTATAAAAGATTGCACTACCAGCAAACTTTGTCATTTTTAATTTACACTAATGGATGAATTGTAAACAAAATACCTCTCTTGCACTGTGTTTTATTGATGCGCAAAAACTTATTTAGAGTTTAATAAAAAAATCCAAAATTGAAAAGTTAATGTTAACTCTTAAGTGTATGAATGGTAAAGTTGAATCGGTTTTGCTAGGTGTACACAAAATGTGTACACCTTTTTTGTACACTTGTCAGTCTCCCGCAGACAAGTTGTCTGTCTACAGACAACTCTATAACTTAATGTTAACTCTTAACTGTATGAATTAAAGTTGAATCGGTTTTGCTAGGTGTACACAAAATGTGTACACTTTTTTGTACACTTGTCTGCGGGGGACAGACAAGTAGTGTACACATTTTGTGCACACCACGCATTTTTCAAGTTGAATAGGTCGAACTGCTGAAACAACGGGCTTGGGAGTTGGGAGTTGGGTTTGGAATCACGACATGCTGAGATGCTATTCCCTTATACTATTAAGTCTAGTTATAGTCCAGTATTGTAAAGAATCAACCATATTGAGGTATTCAGTACCATCAATGAGAATATCTCCATCAGTTAAGGACAAAGTAATGAGAGAAGGAAGAGAGGTGCACACAAGTTTGACATATATATCAGTGACATATATATATATGTATATATATATATGTATATATATATATATGTATATATGTATATATATATATATGTATATATATGTATACATATATGTATACATATATGTATATATATATATATATATGTATATATATATATATGTATATATATAGGGAAGAGATCAAATAAAAAGAGGTTCTCCCGCGCAAAGTGCGAACAGTTGCACTTTTTCATCACCGCGTTGCACTTTTGCGTATTTCTGTTGCACTTTTTCGCGGTGGCAAAAAATTTCGTTTTAATTACGAAATTGCCACCGCGTTTTTGATCAAATTCAGTTCACTTTTGGCTCATTTTGAGCCATTAGATCTCAAAATGAACGCACGAGATTAATTCTCACTTTGCATGGGAAGACCTCTTTGTATTTATGTTATATAGGGGGGAGATCCCATACAAACTAGGCTTCCGGTGCAAACTACAAACCAATACCACATGTTGAATTAGAAAAACGGACGGCCTTCCATATGGGATGCATCATTAAACTTCTGCACTCACACGCATGGAATAAAATTTGGAAGCTTTTTTTAATCGGTCAATGAATTTAAAAGGGGATATATGAGTCATTTGATTTACTGTAGTAGCAGCGTGCGTTTTGTTATTTTGGTAAGTTTGAATTATGCAATCATTGATGTTTAGCCACCTCTCATTTAATTCCGTGTCCAAGTAACTAACTTCCCATTTTTGAATTACTTCATGATTGACCTTCCATTTTTTAATAATAAAAAAGGTGAGTTGGAGATCTTTAAATTGCACAAATTGCATCCACGTATCATAATACAAAAAGAAAGCCTTCCATTATGAAGAAAGTTACCATTTTTATGCATTTTACCATTTCTCTATCTCCATTTTTGGCACGAGAGAGATAGAAACAGTAAAATAAATCATTCACATTTCTCTCCATTTTTATGTTTATATCTCTCTAATGTCACATGCGCATCGTGCACATTGTAGCGTTGGAGATGCTCTTTTAATTTACAAAATGAAACACTTTATCATAAATTATTCATTTTTTAAACCTAAATATGGTAAGACGTAGAGCTCTTGATTGTAGAAGTCAATAGTTCAACATAAATTAATTGAAGCACAACGTATTTACTTCAAGTGCATAATAATGTTATATGATATGCATATTAAGGTTATATGATGTGCATATTAATGTCACGTGATATGCATATTAAGCATACAAGATGTGCATTATACACTCATAATATCTACATAACTTATATTAGAAGTACATAGTTATAAAATATGTCATCGTTGCATTTTAACAGTTCATATGTTGCATGTTATCATCATGACATGTGCATTTCAGAAGTTCTTATATTGCAGTGCAGTACAATGATATGTGCACTTTAATAGTTCATACTGCATTTCATCATTATGGCGTCTGCATTTTTGAGTTCATATGTTGCGCGCATTTTATCATTATGACATGTGCATTTTAGAAATTCATATCATGCATCTTATCATTTTGTGATATGCATATTAAGTTTATATGATGTGCATATTAATGTCACGTGATATGCATATTGAGAATACAAGATCTGCATTATACACTCATAGTATCCACAAAACATATATTAGAAGTGCATACTTATAACATATGTCGATGTTGCATTTTAGTAGCTCATATGTTGCATTTTATCATAATGGCATGTGTATTTTAGAAGTTCGAATATTGCACTGTAGTAAGATGATATGTGCACTTTAATAGTTCATACTATATTTCATTGTTATGACGTTTGTATTTTCAGTTCATAGGTTGCATTTTATCATTATGACATGTGCATTTTAGAAGTTAATATTGTGCATCTTACCATTTTGTGATATGCATATTAAGGTTATATGATGTGCATATTAAGGTTATATGATGTGCATCTTATCATTTCAGAGTTAAAAGAGTTTTACATTCACTTATTAGACACTCATTAACTATTTTTCGGGCAAACTTCAGAAACTGCATACAATATACTTCATGAATATACGACCATCTCCGGCCTTCTTTGATGTATGATGACGAATAGTAAACACAAATTCAGCTGCATAGTCTTTGTAAAGATTCAAGTCAGCATCTAGATTAGGAAATATCATCCCAACAACCGGTTTCTTTTCGGGTGAGCATTCAGGGATCTAGTACTTTGAGCTCCAGGAGAAATTTGTAAAGCACAATTCAAATCTACATAAACAACAAACACTAAATAATATTAAACATGAAATAAAACAATATTAAACAACACTGAAATCTTATTTCACTAAATGCACCATAAAACCAAAACAAATGCATAATACATACTTTATACCTTGCATGAGACAAAGATGAATTACAAAGAGAAATTTCAACAAATATTAAAATAATTATGTTCACCCTTCACGTTAATGATGATGCAGTTCAATTTCATTCCTAATTTATATACAATTGAGTAAACACAAGAAAAACAAACCTACGAAGTGAAGGGAGGTAACCTTATCAACGTTTAATTATGAAATTTGTTTGCAAGAAGACACAGGATAACATCAACCTGTTATGCGAATCAATTAAATTTAAAATGCACGATCAGGAAACACGAACAACCACAAGGAATAATACATCCGAAGTTCTTTGTATGAAAACAGAGTTTATCAAAGATTTATGAATACTTGATTCCATGGCGTTTGATGATAATGATGAGAGATGATTAACTGAAACAATTCATAATCTAGATGAGGAAGACAAGCGCACAGATGAACACCATGATCGATGGAATGGTGGAAAGAAAGAAGAATGGAAAGTAGGCGGCTACGGGAATGGAAAGTAACGAGCCTGATTTTTGTTCCATTATAAAGTTGAGTAATTGACCAAAACACCCTCAATTTTAATTAGTTGGTTGTGAACAACTTAAATGAAACGCACGTTAATCTAATCTAAATAAACGGTCATGATTAGTTTGTAGGTTAGTAAATTAAGGCTAGTTTGTATTTGATCTCTAATATATATATATATATATATATATATATATATATATATATATATATATATATATATATATATATATATATATATATATATATATATATATATATATATATATATATATATAT